GGCTTTTATGTTGCAGTAGTTGAAAATTCCAGGAGGGGAGGGCATCATCTTGAGGGTGGGTAGGCATTAGGAGTGTTAAATAGTGAGGAGACAATACTTTCCCAGAAACAAAATTTGTCCAGCTGGTAGAAAAGAAAGAAAGAAAAAAAGAAAGAAAGAAAGAAAGAAAGAAAGAATGCTTCTGACAATGTGAGACTTGTAGATATTATGTAAGTCCATAGATGTTACTTGGAGAATTTCAATGGTATTACTGATTTTTAGGCAGATAAGATCCAATGAACACAGAGCACAAAGAGATTGGAACCTATCTCACTTACTAGTGTAATTTTCATGAGCAACTTCATAACTGCCTATGGAGAAGAAAAGGAAGAAAACTGAGAAATTCATACAATATTATATGAAACAAAGGATGCTGTAAAAGAAGACTTTACTTAAACAAAAGATCACTCATACCTTGTACACCTGAAGTATCAGGATTAACTATTAGAGTGACTATGTTACTTTACGTAGGCATTTGGAGATATATGCTTGTAGTTCAATTAACAACTTCTGTCTGAAAACACAGATCTTTCACAAATCACCAAGATGTATTGTAATAAAATAAGAAGGAATGCTTTCTCAAAATAATATTTATTATCATTTGATTGGGGATTGTTTCCCAAATATTTGCTCCATTTCCAATTATTTTTATTGATAGGAGGGTTCTGGCTATTTCACTGTGTTAAATAAATTATATGATCTAATTTTAAATTGAAGGTATAGTTTTCATCAACATTTATGTATCATAATTCTGACACTGTGTCTGTGGTTAAACAATTTGAATTAAAGGACTGATTAGTTTTTTTTGCAGTAGGAGTGGTTTAGAGACAGGGTTTCTCTGTGGCTTTAGAGGCTGTCCTGGAACTAGCTCTTGGAGATCAGGCTGGTCGCCAACTCACAGAGATCCACCTGCCTCTGACTTCCGAGTGCTGGGATTAAAGGTGTGCACCACCACTGCCCAGCAAAGATTGACTTGCTTTAAATCTCCATTTTAATGTGTTGATACAGGAATTTTTATATTACAACATTTTCAGTGTTAATATAAAAATACAAATAAGGTGCTTAATTAAACAAATTACTTTTTATTTCCTATACTTCCCTATATTCTTGGTTGACTTTTATTCTTGTAATTCTGTGAGACTGATGAAGCTCCTTCTCTTTTTATAAATGTTCCTGAGATTCAACCTGCTGTGAGCTGAGGTGAGTATAATTGAACACAAGAGGATATTTTAAAGTACAAGAAAAAAATAGGGCAGAGAGAAAACATATGGTTTCCTAATTATGCTGAAGATGCTTTTTATCCCCTTCTCACTCTCTCATGATTTTCCCAGCCTACTGTGCACAGCCGATTTTATCACATAACAAGTTTTATAAATGGAGCAACAGTGACATGCCTACCACTGTGGAAAATGGGCACCTTGGTTTTCCAACAGTGGTTTTGAATAACCAGAAATACTGAAGTTCCACAAAATTTGGAAGTTTCACTAAAATTATACTATAGCAGAAGTTTGTGTAATAACTGACTAGACTGAGGCTGATTTAAGTAGTCTTAGTATAAATGATTGGCTGCAGTGGAAATAATTGGGCATAAGCAATGTGCTTTCCTGGGGAAGTTAGCACAATATTAAAACAGTAAATGCCTGGAGAAACAGAGCAGTTAATAAAGGAGTTATCCCTGAAAATACGGTGGCCTGAATTCAATCTCTGGAAGACAGAGAAGGGAAGGGAGAGACCCTACACCCCAGAATGGTATGCAGTGACCTATATGTGTATACTGTAGCATTACATACCCCCAATACCCCCATACAGGTCTTACACACACACACACACACACACACACACACACACACAAACAAATTAAATACTTTGGGCCTTTTAACTGACTTGATTCATTTATCCTTTACATATTAAATGATGCAACTATCATTTTACTGTGCATATTTGCCTTCCCAGAATCTGTAATACTGTAATATTCACAGTTTCGTAATAATAAAATTCAACTTGAAATTGCTGACTGTCCACCCTGGAAGTATAGGTTATGTATAGATCACTGTAGTTAAACATAGGCCATTATTTCAAGTTTTAAACTCAAGAAATGGGCTTTTTAAAAATTAAAACAAAGAAAAATACTGGATTATAGGGCTTGAGAGCTAGATATAGGTTAAATATCTGCATAGCCAACTTATTTTTAAAGCATTTTCAAGATAGTATTCTTACATCATTTAAATCAGTTTATTTCAAGATATTATGTACCCATTTTAAGATTTATGTACTCAAAAGTAATGTCTTGATGGAGGGGCATTTGGCGGTCAGGGAGAAAACTGATGCCAGAGAAACCCGCAGGAATCCACAAGGATGACCCTAACAAAGACTCCCAGCAATGGTGGAGAAGGTGCCTGAACAGGCCATCTACTCCAAGCTGACTTGTGACCTCCCTGATTGCCACCAGAGGTTCTCTATCCAGTAACTAAAGGAAGCAGGGGCACAGATCTACAGACAAGCACTATGCAGAGCTCCAAGAATCTAAGGAAGAAACAGAAGAGGGATTGTACCAGCCAGGGGGGTTCATCATGGGGGGGAACCCTCAAAAACAGTTGAATCGGTTTTTCTGGAGTTCATGGGCGTTGAACCAACAGACAGGGAGCATGGATGGGATCGACCTAGGCCAACTGAATATGTGTGACAGTCCTTAATCTTGGTAACTTAGTAAGGCTTCTGACAGTGAAAGCAGGACCTCTGTCCGACGCTTACCTGGCTTTTGGTAACTTCTTCCCCATCCTCAATTACCTGGCCCTGATTCGACATAAGGGGGTGGAGCTCGTCCTGCCTCAAGTCCATGTGCCATGCTTTGTGCAAGCCAACGGGAGGCCTGACCCTTGCTGAATGGAGATGGAGGACCAGTGGATGGGTGAGGGGCAGATGGGAAAGGAGAGGGGACAGAACAGGGAGGGGAAATTGGTTGATATATAAAAAAATGAAAAAAATGTTATTTAAATAAAAAAAGAAAAAATGTATTACATACACTGATAGTCTTCTCTTTCCTTTTTCTTCTGTCAAAAAGTGTTTGTGATCCACAGCTAAGCACTGAGCCAAACTCCTGGAATCCAGTTTCAGAGAGGGAGGCGAGATGAACAAAGGGGTCAAGACCACTCTGGGAAAACCCACAGAAACAACTGACCTGAGCAAGTGGAAATTCAGGAACCCAGTCTGACAGCTGGGGAACCAACATAGGACCAAACCATTCCCCCTGAACGTGGGTGGCAGCTAGGCACACTGGGCAGTCTATGGGGCCTCTGGACATAGAACAAGGATGTATCCCTAGTGCACAAACGGACTTCGGTAGCCCATTTCCCATGGAGGGATACTCCCTTAGCCTAGATACACAGACCCTGCCCCAAATGATTTCACAGATTTTGATGATCCCTCATGGACGGCCTCACCCACCCTGGGGAGTGGATGGGGGATGGTCTGGGGGATGGTGAGGGGCATAGGAGGATGAGAGGGAGAGGGAACTGGAATTGATATGTAAAATAAGATTGTTTCTAATTTAAATATTTTTTAAAATATTTGTATTTATATATATGGGTTGTAATTTGATTTTTGTTGTTTAACCTATGAAGCTTATTGACATACCCACAAAATGATAATGAATTAAACGACAGTAAATGTTGCTGATTTCCAAATATGTGCATAAAATAAATTTCTTAAAAAGGAAAATGAATAAGTGGTAGAAATATAAAAAATCATCCTACAAAAATTCTTTAAATATAAGCAAGAGTCAAAGGAATAAAAGGAATTGAAAAGGAGAATCTTATTTGTATCACATTCTCTCCTATTTTTCAACAATATTTATTGATCTTTTGCTGTCCCAACATCATCTACAATCTGTGGTATTTATAATCAGAAATGGGAAGTATTACAACAAATCATTGTAGTTTAAGTGAAATAAAGAGGCATTCTTAGGAGACTAGAATCACTAACTGCCATCTTTACTGGATATAATACTTTGTTAAGATCTATAATAGTTTTATTAGGCAATATGACTTTGAAATCCCTTCAGACTTATGGAGGATATTTCCATTAGCAATGGAGGGAGAATGTGCTGAACTGGGATTTTAGAAATCCATGCACATTACCATTGTGGATACACTAACATTAGTGGACACATTAATCCAGAGCAAGAAAATTTTCTATCAGCAGGTTAACTAAGAATCAGCTTGAAATGTCTCTTTTATACAAATGTCTATGTATTGCCCATCACAGGTATATGAAGAGTACATGCTTTGAAACAAAGAGATTAAGGAAAGAAATTGAATCATATAGTTGGTGTACAAATTTATTCCTCACTAGTTAAAAGTAATGACAAACAGCCAGGCAGTGGTGGCACATGCCTTTAATTCCAGCACTTGGGATTCAGAGGCAGGAGGATTTCTATGTTTGAGACCAGCCTGGTCTACAAAATACAAAACTACATGGAGAAACCCTGTCTTGAAAAGCCAACAAAAAAAAGAAAGAAAGAAAGAAAAGAAAAGAAAAAAATGACAACCTGAAAGTTGTCTTCTGGCCAATCCACCTGCCTTACAGTGTGTGTGCACCCATATTCATGCACACTCACATATACATGTAAATAAATAAATGAAATGTAAAAGACATTATGTGTTCCTATGTATTTAAAACATAAATGTCTTGCCCATGCTGTATAATTATTTTTAAAATAAAGATCACTGGCAATATTAATAACAACACATAATAATAATAATAAATATATGTATATACCTGAAAAAATATGACAACCATGTAGACTATCTAGGTAAATACCCTGATTTAAAGATAGAAACTATGATTAAAATAGATAAATGGGATCAGCTCAGGAACCGGCCTGCACGTACGTCCCTCCTAAACGCTTTCCAGGGTGTTTATAGAAACTGTTTTTTCCTACTTGCCCTCCCGACTGCCAGAAAATGTCTATTCTCAAGGTCCACGCCCGAGAAATCTTTGATTCCCGGGGGAACCCCACTGTGGAAGTTTATCTCTACACCTCAAAAGGTCTCTTCAGAGTGTCTGTGCCCAGCAGTGCCTCCTCCGGGATCTACAAGGCCCTACATCTACAAGAACTCCGGGACAATGATAAGACGTGCTACATGGGGAAAGGTGTCTCAAAGGCTGTTGAGCACATCAATAAAACTATTGTACCTGCTCTGCTTAGCAAGAAACTGAACGTTGTGGAGCAAGAGAAGATCGACAAACTGATGATTGAGATGGACGGCACTGAGAATAAATCTAAATTTGGTGCAAATGCCATCCTGGAAGTGTCCATTGCTGTCTGCAAAGATGGTGCCAGAGAAAAGGAGGTACCCCTGTACCGTCATATCGCTGACTTGGCTGGTAACCCTGAAGTCCTTCTGCCCGTCCTTGCTTTCATCGTGATCGATGGTAGTTCCCACGCTGACAACAAACTGACCATGCAGGAGTTCATGATCCTCCCTGTAGGGGCTTCCAGCTTCCAGGAAGCCATGCGCATTGGGGCAGAGGTTTAGCACAACCTGAAAAATGTCATCAAGGAGAAATATGGGAAAGATGCCACAAATGCAGTGAGGAGGGCGGGTTCATGCCCAACATCCTGGAGAACAAAGAAGCTCTGGAGCTGCTGAAGAATGCAATCTGGAAGGCGGGCTACACGGACCAGGTTGTCATCCGCATGGATGTGGCTGCCTCTGAGTTCTTCAGGTCTGGCAAGTATGACCTGGACTTCAAGTCTCCTGATGACCCGAGCAGGTACATCACACCTGACCTGTGTAAGTCCTTCATCTGGGAGTATCCAGTGATGTCCATCGAAGACCCCTTTGACCACGACGACTGGGAAGCCTGGAAGAATTTCACAGCTAGTGCTGTCATCCAGGTGGTTGGGGATGATTTCACAGTAACCAACCCTAAGAGGATTGCCAAGGCTGTCAGTGAGAAGTCCTGCAACTGCCTGCTGCTCAAAGTCAACCAGACTGACTCTGTGACCCAGTCTCTGCAGGCATGGAAGCTGGCTCTGTCCAATGGTTGGGGCGTTATGGTGTCCCATGGCTCCGGGGAGACGGAGGACATTTTCATTGCCGATCTCGTGGTGGGGCTCTGCACTGGGCAGATCAAGACTAGTGCCCCTTGCGGATCTGAGCGTCTGGCCAAGTACAATCAGATCCTTAGAATCGAGGAAGAGCTGGGCTGCAAAGCCAAGTTTGCTGGCAGATGCTTCAGGAACCCCCTGGCCAAGTAAAGACCCTAGAAACACCTGCTGCTTAGACCCTGTCCCGCATGTCATCAAGGCGGCTGAAGGCCGGCCCAGTGCTTGTCCCTCCCATGCCACTGCTTCCTTAGGCCACCTGGAGCCCTGTTGGAAACCCCAGGTTTGCAATTATGTGATTGGCCTAGTCATTGTTTCTGTCACCTCACTTTCAAGATAGTGTCTAGAGCCCAGTGTAATCTCTAGGGTAGCCACGGACAAGACCCGCACCCCAGCGGTTCTACATATAAAATAAAAGCCTCAGTAAAAGCCCGCCCCCAATAAAAAACAGATAAAAGACTTGGAAGGTAACATGCTATAATTAGTGTCTTAATTGCAATTCTAGACGAGGTCTCATTTTCCTATTTTTTTTTTACAGTCTTTCTCAGCACAATTTAAGACTGTGCTCTTTTATTTTATAATAAGTAGCAATGTCAAGAAACAAGAAAAACTGAAGTTTTCCTTGTGATGGCTATTGTTTTTGTCAACTTGGCTACATCTAGGCACACTTGTGAGGGATTTTTAGTTAACTGGATCATTTGAGGTCAGAAAACTCAACCTAAATCTGGTCCATACCTTCTAATGATGGCCTATAGAAAGGACATGAAACAAAGTAGCTTTCTCTCTTTGCCTGTTTGCCCTAGCCCTCACTTCCTTCGCATTAAAGCCTGCTAATGTTCTAACATAAACTGAAATTAAGCTGGGACATTCAACTTCATGGACTGAAAGACTACTGGATTCTTGAACTTCTTTATGGTAGACAGCCTTGTTGGACTAGCTGGACCACAGTGTTTAATAATAATAATAATCGTCTCTTCTATATAGATAAATTCATCCTATCAGTTCTGATAATCTAGAGAACTCTGACTAATGCAGACCTGTTCTCATTCTTATCTAGCTCTTTTCTTAGTACAATTTTGGACTAGGATAAACTATTTTATAAATAACAATGTCAAGAAACAAAACAAAGTGAAGTGTTCAAATATCAACTATCTAATAAAATTTGAGTTTAGAAACATAGGCAACTCTGAAAGTGTCCTTTACATATGTAAATGATTCACGCTCAACTTTAACTTTCTGCTACTTTACATATGAGGATGTATGAGACTTAGAATGCAGTAAAATCTATGGCCTCACTAACTGTGGTTATGCTGACAACTTTTAGAGTACCTGGCATGACTTCCTTCCTGTTGAGTGGGCCTTAACTCCAATTTGACAGTTCTTGGCTGTTACTGGTATGTGCCACTTATTTCACCTTTATGCATATTTTGCCATGCTGGTAATTATATTGGTGCATGGGTGGTGCAGCTGCGTAGGAATGTTTAATTGCTCTTCTCCCATGACAGCTTGCATAGTAATTCTATTAACAATTATTCTCAGTGTTAGGAACTCAAGAGATGACTCAGTGCTTACAAGCACTTGTTACTCTTCCAGAGGACCTGAGGTGAGTTCCCAAAACCAAGTCAGGTTACTCAAAATCACCTATAACTCCAGCTATAGGTTATCAAACAAAATTTTCTGGTTGCATCAAGCACACACAAACACATGGCAGACACACAAGGCACAAAAAAGTAAAGAAAAATGAAAATACATTGAAGAATAATGTACATTATTAGGCGTTTTTATTTCTTCGGTGAAAATTGACTTTTGGGTAAATAAATATTAATGCATATAGTAAAAATGAAAACTTAGCCTCAGCCACATTTCTACTGCTATGTGATGTCAAAGTGTGACAATCAGTTGTTTTTAGATTATGAAAGCTCTTGTTATGCTTTTGTGTGTATGGCATGTTTGTATGTATGTGTGTGAGTGCTCACAGGTGTGAGTATAGGCACACTTGTATCATGGACAGTAACTGATGATCAAAAGGCAACCTCAGATGTTGGTCCTTGGTTCGTTCCCACCTTATTTGTAGAAGGGTCTCTTGTTCACTATTGGATCATGTGAGGCTGGTTGGTCTGCAAATTTCTAGCGATTAACCTGTTTTTGCCTCTCATATTGCAGTGGGCATACTGAGATTCCTGACGTGTGGGACTTCATCCAGCTGTGTTAAGGGAATCTGCACAGTAATCTTCATCATTTAACCTTGAGTATTTTTATCTGCTTGCCTTGGCCAGCACAGCTGTGGGCATCACGGGAATCAGGAAAGTTGGGTAGACACAAGAAGTGTACAAGTGCACAAGTCAGGGAGCACTTCAGGAATGAACACTAGGTTTTCCTAGTGCTGCTTATACATTGTTTAAATAGCTATTAGAGATATTTTTCAAGACTTTGAACAAAAAATGTCTTTGTTACCCTTATCTGAGTTCTTTTACCCACACTCCCTATTCTTGTGTTCTTGTTTCACCCAGGAAGACATTCCTTCTAGACTTTATCTCATGTTGTAGTTGTCTACAGTCACATCTGGGTCACAGTTTAGGCTCCAGAAAGAAACTACAGATGATCTGGTGGCCAACATCCATCCAGCCATTTCTCTAGCCACTGTGCTTAATAATTCAACATATTCCTACATGTTGTTGAACATCATATTTAATTTTGTTATTTCTATATTTTAGTTTTTGTATGTTTATATTGTAAAGATCACCTAAAGTCACAGAATGCTGAATACATGTAATATTACAAATATCCTTTTCCACTAAAACAATCACTCTAGATTTTTTATTTGGTTTATTGTAAATACTGAATTATTGAACAAAATAGCATAAAGAAGGCTTGGATTGTGAAGGAGACAGGATTCAGAACATGAAAGTTAGAGAAAGAAGATAAGGATATATTAGGAAGTAATGAAATTTCAATAATTAACTGAATTCATAGAAAGGTACAGGAAGTTATGTTACATTCTGACAAATATTAATATAAATGATGTGACTAGATATGGCCCCATATATACCCAAGAGAGCTACATGAAGTTATGTTTATGTTAATTTGATGATAACAAATTTATTTAAGACATGGACATTGTTTAACATAGTTTTACTTTGTCATGGAGACTGAAGTACAGTATATTGTAAATAAAATATTTAATTAAACCACGATTAACTTAATGTGAAATATTTTGTTATATCAAATATTTCAGTTATTTTATTGCAATTTTATTTTGTGTTTTGAAAAATCCATATTAGTATATATAAAACAGATAACATAAAAAGCATCTATTATTTTGTCTTCATGGTAAAATAACTATTCTTGCTGTTTTTGAATTGCAAAATCAATACATTTTCTTAGTAACATTCAACTTTTAAAATAACTCAATTTGGAACTAGTTTAGGGATCCTTTTAAATTTTGAGTCACAGAACATAGAAGTAGTGTTTTATAACCATTACAAAACCAAAAGAACACCACAGGGGAAAAATAAAACATAAATATGAGCTACGTTAATATTGTAGGGTTGTCCAAAAATAATTATATTAATTCTAGACCCAAAATAAACGTATATTCTCACAATAACATAGGCTAGGTATCTGAAATCAATGTCTGTGGGGCACAGTTTAGCTATCCATAAACCTGGCTCTCCCTGGAAGCTCTATGGGAGAATTTGGTTGCTTGCCAATGCTAACTTGTGGTGATTTACAACATTTCTTTGTTTCTGACCATTTCCTAACATTGTTTAGACCCATTCTGATCACAGGAAATATTCAAGATAATCTCTTCTTGTTTATGCTTGATCACATATTCAAAGTCAATTTTGAATGCTGGCTAGAATGTTGGATGAGAGGGAATTCTTCTAGCAATTTGGCAAGAATATGAATTACTTAGCCACAGTAAAAAAATAAAAATAAAAAGAGATATAGACTACACAGGCTCTTAAACATGATAAAAGCAAAATTACCATATGATCCACATCTGTTATGGTTTGATTCCAAAATGTTCCCCACTGGCTAAAGATTTGGATTGCTTTTCTTCGGCCAACGGTACTATTTTAAAACCTGAGAAAATTTTAGTAAGTGGGTTCTAATTGGCACAAATTGGTCACTACAAGTGGTTCTATAAAGGGTATAGCTGACTCCTGGCTCCTTCATCTGTTGAGAAAAGACTTTGTCACACAGTTGTGCTGCCAGGAAGCAAGCTGTTTTGCCATGCCTTACCCACTGAGAGGGATTCTCTAAAAACATGAGGAAAAATGAGTTAGTACCCTCTTAAATCACTAAACTGGTATTGTTGTCACTGAGATGTAGAAATAACTAATGCATAACTAACAATAGACCTAACTCTGTGACTTTTAAGACTTTGAAACCAGTTTGGAAAATTGATTCCCCCATGGAAGTCCTAGAATATTATAAGCAGACCTCAATGAGCAATTTCCAGGAGAGTTCAGAAGGCTGGGATTCCAGAAATAATGTTGCCAACAATGCCTGCCTTTATGTGGTTTTTAGATGGGAAAAAGTATTTTATATGGAGTTTGGCTAAATGACTTTTTGTGCTGCATTCTGGCTATTATTTATTTATTTATCTACATTTGTTTATATGCTAAAGATGATAGTTCTGAAGTAACAAATTAACATTGTGAAGTAAATTTCAAAATAGCATAACATTCAGGATATGACATTATTATAAACAACTCCTTTTAGCTAGTTTTACAATTACAATAAAACACAGAGTGGCTTAAAAGTGTATAGAAAACATTGAGTTGGCCAAAAAATTAACTTGCTTAAAGTTGTAAACAAACCAGTAATTAGCAAGATTGGATATCATTATTGAGGACAAATTAAGCACTTTGCAGCAGAGCAGTAGGATGGATACTTTGGGGCATATGAGGAATTTCCCAGAACACACCCCAAAAGTTCAGGTCGTAAAATTGCAAAGATGTTTGGATGACTTTCTTTAAAAAGTGTTCCCTCAAAGGAGTCCTGCTTAAGCAGGGTAGCTAAAGATTTTGTCTGGGCATAGATACCCAGAGTCTTAGAAGGCAACGTTGGTAGAGGTGGTGTAAGTGTCCCTTTTTCCAGGGACCAGACCTGGAAACCAGACACCAGAACTTTCTATCCATGTAGTA